ACATGGATGGAGATAGAGGGTATTATGCTCAGTGAAATAAGCCAGGCGGAGAAAGACTAGTACCGAATGATTTCACTCATATGTGGAGTATAAGAACAAAGAAAAAACTGAAGGAACAAAACAGCAGCAGAATCACAGAACCCAAGAATGGACCAACAGTTACCAAAGGGAAAGGGACTGGGAAGGATGGGTGGGAAGGGAGGGATAAGCGAGGTGGGGGGAAGAAAGGGGGCATTATGATTAGCATGTATAATGTGGGGGGAGGCACGGGGAGGGCTGTGCAAGACAGAGAAGACAAGTAGTGACTCTACAGCATCTTACTACACTGATGGACAGTGACTGTAATAGGGGTTCTGGGGGAGACTTGGTGAAGGGGGGAGCCTAGTAAACATAATATTCCTCATGTAATTGTAGATTAATGATACCAAAAAAAAAAGTATTGTGGAAAAGAGGGCTATACTGTAGTGTTGGATGGGAAGTGTGCATGTATCTAATGAGAGTAAAAAGAGGGGACTAACCAGTCATTGTTTTTAGAAACAAAAAGGCAAATAGAAGCATGTTTCAGAGCCTTGCTGGTGAAGGAGCTCTGGGAAACTGCAGCATCCAAGCTGTTACTGTGTTGCAGGCATGCTTTAATGAAGGAGGGTTGTCTGGCCAGCCTCAAAGGGACTTTTGAGCATTGCATTCTTTTGAATTACTGCTGTTCTGTTCCCTTCACCTCCCCCTTCTAAAGAAGGGATAGGAGTATAAATTATTGTCCAGTAACCCTGTCTTACTTAATCATAAACCAAGGCAGACCTAACTCACCTTTTCATTGCCCTTTCACCCAAACCCCTGAGTAAATAAAATCTCTATACCATCTCCTTTTCCCTTCCCTCATCCTCATCCTGCCTATGGGGTTTTCCCTACCCTAACAAAAAAATTTTGCTTTCATTTTTATTCTACCATTATATAGCTAGCAGCATCGCAGTGGCCCCTTTATGGCCGACGGAGCCCAGGCGGGTTGCCCGACGAGGGGAGACAGCATTTGGCCAATGGGGCTGATGTGTGCCATTACTGCTGGCCACTGGGCCTCTGTCCTCTACTGCTCCATCCTAGCTCATTAAAACCCTGAGCCAAATAGCTGGGCAGGCGCCTGCTGCAGCACTGTGGGGGCCAAGAAGTTAAATGGTTCTCCTAATCCTGCATAATTTATCTCCCTGTTAGCCCCCTCATAAATAGTCCAATTCAGCCCCACCATGGAGAGCTTCATTCTGAATTTCCTATTTTTGTGATGACCAATGAGTGCCCAGCCTTTCCTTTCTTCTGTCTTTATTATTATTATTAAAAATTATTTTCCCCTTGTTTGCCACGAGTTTGCCTTAATGTTTTCCTCATTTGAAGCCTCCTGCGTGGACCCCACTTCACCAGCAATCTGTCTACTTTCTCATTTGGACCTGATATTTTAGAGCAGTTGGTGCCATGGTCTTCCCTTTCCCCTCCCCCAGCTTTCTACTGCCTCTTTTTCTCCTTCTTCATTTTCTCTTTGTTAGTCTATCTCCTCTCCTTTTCTGTCACTTCCAGTTTTTCTTTCCTTTCCATTCCCTCTCCAGTCTCTCTTTCCAAGGGACCAACCTTGCTGCAGGATGTTCGGTAGGACATTTTTAAAGGGCACTGAATCACTAATTTTTTTTTTCACATCTCTGTTTCTGTTTCGTTTCAGAGATTTACAAACGAGGACCACCTGGCAGTTCATAAACACAAGCATGAGATGACATTAAAATTTGGCCCAGCCCGAACTGACTCAGTCATCATTGCAGGTATTTGCTGCCCCAGAAGCCACGTGCCTTGCTATCACCAGACAGTTAAGATTAATACCAGGGACCAGATGTACTGGGAGCTATACTCCCCTTCTCCCATTAAGAGCCCTTATGTGATCTGCATTTAATCAGGGAAAAAGAACACTAGAAGCTCCCAAGTTTCTATAGTGCTTTCCACTCTCTTTTTAGTACAAGATTGGGGTCTGCGGTTTTTGAGGGTAGGTGTGTTGAGGTTGTTTTGTCTTAGCTTTTTTTAGTCTATCTCCTCTTTGCCTTCTTTTTATTAAGACTTTGGAATATTTACAGACAAAAGACGTCTTTGACATTTCCCTGTACCCACAGTGAAGGGGTGAACAAAAGGAAGCAAGAAAGCCAATCTAGCCTGGCTGCTTCTCTTCCACTGGGTATCAGTTTTCCCCGAGCAGGCAGATTGTCAGTTCGTAAATTCAACTTTCCTTGTGAACACAGACACCATTGAGAGCACATTGCCAAAGCTCAAAAAGACAATTTAGTAAATGGGACTTTTCTAAGCCAGTTTGGGTGACCTGGAACCACTCACTGGTTGTTTTAGTCATTGTCTTGCTCACGTATGCCATTCTCAAGGGCTCATGCTCTCAAACCATGTAGCAGTTCTGTTGTGTCATTTACAGCTAGGCAGATATACAAACCAAAGTGGGCTTTTTATTTTGATACCATCAGCATGGTTCTGATTTAGCCTGAGTTAAGCAAAGTTACCTCAATATTTAACCAATAGGGGATTTAGTGGGCCAGTTATTGCATCAGTAATAATTCAGGGAAGGTACTCTTTCTCTAAGTACTATTAGCCAAAATGCTGCTTGAGACATAGAAAAGGAGAGAGAACATCCTCTCCAGACTTCTGTGCATGAAGAAAGGGACTTGCCCTTACAGATCTCCTATTCCTTATTAATTCAGCAAATATTTATGAATATCTATTCTGTGTATCAGGCACTTTGCTAGGAGTTTATAGATTTTAATTTCTAGGAAAGGACATGAGTGGGGGCATTGCCACTAATGACCTTTAAGAAAGCCTGGAACATATATATCTTACAGGAAGGGTGGATAAAGTATAAACATATGTATATAACACTTTACATTTATGAAGTCAAATACTAAGATAATTAATATTAAATGGAATAAATCAGAGAAAGGTTTATGAAAGAGGTAAATTTAAGGCAAGGTTATCAAGTTGGACATGTTATTCTAAATGGGTGGAAAGGCCTAGCTGAGTCTCCAGGAGTGGTGATTCAGGACAGTCCCAAGGAGAGAAAGTGTTTTCCTGTTCCTTGCTTTCTGTTCTGGAGTGTTCATCCTGTTACACATGACTTCAGCCATCCTGGGTAGGCTGGTAGTTCTCATATCTCTAAACTAAGACCTCTTGTCTCACATGTATCCCAACACCTTGAATACTCACTTGGCTGTCTTTCTGTCATTCAAATCATCAAGTCAATGACTGAACTTACTCTTTGTCCTCTAAACCAACTTCCTCTGTTTTTCAGTGATATCGGTATTCTCAAAATAGTGAGTTGTTTTATTGTTTCTTCAAATTCTGTCTGTTCTATTCCTTCCTGTTCTTCCTGCCACCACCCTCATTATGCTTGGATTCCTCCATAGTCTCCTAGCTGAACTCCTGGACTAATGTCTCATTCCAGTCCATCTTGCATTCTACCGAAAAGCCAGTCTTCCTTACATTCCTTTGCTCTGTTCAAAATCTGTCATTAGTCTCCTGTTTTCTCTTACTTTCAGGCTATTTATGCTTGGATTTTCAGGCTTTCCATAACCTAGCCCCATGGTATCAACCCAACTTTAGATACACCTTATATACCTAACATGATTATCTTTTGACCTAGACATACCTTTTTATCCTCATCTGCACATGGTGCCCATACCCTGCCTCTCTCTATGCCTTCACCTGCCTTACACTTCTTATTTTCCAAATCTAATCTTCTGTCTATCTAAAGCCATTCCTTAAGGTGCAGCTCAAGTCCCACTTTAGGAAACCCAGCTACTCTGGTATTAATTTACCTGTATTTAATTTCTACAACAATTTTGTTTTCTCCACATGGCACCTATTTTTTATATACTATTGATGCTATCTATATTAGTCTTATTCCCTCAACTAGAAAACATTCTCTTAATTCTCTAGAGCAGGAGCCATGTCTTATATTTGGTAAAAATTCCTATCCCTCTCCTTCCCCAAATTTACACATAAGTGTAGCACCAAAACAGATAGACAGTATTCCGAAAACACTTGTTGATTTTTTTGGAAGCATCAGAGCAGGCCAAGGATATTCTTACACATTTTTAGGCTGTTTGGTTGTTTGTTTGGGAATGGGAAAAGTTTGTGTGAGCCTCAGATCAGAAAGCCAAAAGGCTCTCTTATGCCATTACCATTGCCCTTAGCTGCCCCGTCCTGTTTCACTTGAGTTGTGACTTTCTGCGTGCCCTTACTGAAGTACTCACTAAGCATAAAGGGTGATATTACCTCCACTCACCCAGGGATGGAGGGAAAGTGGCTTTATTGTTGGCCAATGAAATCTGCCAGAGAGCCTTTTAAAACTATTTTGGGAGGTAGTGGTGACTTTTCCAAACACTCTGATTCAGAAGAGGTTTTGTTTAAATTTTTAAAAATTATGTTGTTTCCATGGAAAATCCCACTGGACTATTCTCAGTTGATTCTGCTATAAGGAGCCATTTTAACCCCTGGTCTCACTCCTTAAAATGTTATTTAAACATAGTTCCATTCAATCTAGTAGTTTGGGTATGAGATGAATCCCTGAGGTGACTTAACATGTCAAGGAAAACCATCATAGTCGAGTTAGGATCGGAGAACAACATTCAGCTGACCTAAGAGAGAAAAACTAGAAAAGCAGAATGGGAGGAGAGAAGCTCAAATCTAAAATTCAAGCTGCTTGTAAAGTTCCCAGGGGTTACCAAGAGACTTACTCTTCCCAAGGGCTGAGGCACTGTGTTGAAGAAAGATGTCTGCATCCCTTGAGAGGCTATTTTGGCTAGAAAATCTAAATCCAAATATCCTGGTTTCTGGTTTTTTGCTCTGGGCTCATGTCTCTGTGAAATGAGCTCTATTGTTGGCAGTATTGCTTTTCTAGCTCATGATCTTGCTGTCTTGTTCCGCAGCCCCTAGATTGCCTGGAATGCCTTCAGAAGGTAACAGACCTTTACCTTAGTGATCATTGAAAGGCAAGGCACCGTTTCTTCTTTGGTGGCTTTAGCAAGCAAGCTCAACCATCTGATCCTCAGTTTCTTCTCATCAGATTTTAACATCCATCTGCTTACACCTGCTCATTTCAGACCTAGCAGGGAGTAAGATGAAAAAGAAAATGTCACTTAATTGTTCTTGATTTTCAAATATGGAGATTAAACAAACTCTACCAGGGTGTAGTTTTGTTTTGTTTGGGGGTAAGGGAGGTGAAACCAGCCTCTGGGAGAAAGGTGGTTACTTGGATAGCCACACAACAAAACATTGTTCTGTCTTCCCTCTGCTGGCCTTGAGGCAACACAGCACAGACACCCTCTGGTGGCCTAGCACTTGCTTTCACCTACGTTTGCCCTATCAGACTCCCTCCAAATAGAATGAAAATGCGTTCTATATATATTCTCAAGTTTTAATTTCAAATAAAAACTAAAATATTTTCCTTTTCTCTTCATGTTTACAGATCAAACTCCTACTCCAACTAGATTCCTGAAGAACTGTGAGGAGGTGGGGCTCTTCAATGAACTAGCTAGCTCCTTTGAACATGAATTGAAGAAAGCTGCAGATGAGGATGAAAAAAAGGCAAGAAGCGGAACTTTTGCTGAAAAACTGGTGCTCAGATCTAAGCCATTTTCATTATTATGCCCTAGGATAATTTGCTTAATGTTAAACCACAAAATTATGGGCTTTGTTCTATAGAATCAGATAGTACCCATTAATCCCATTCAAGCCATCCAGGTCTTTAGGGGTCCAGATGATGGATCAGTACAAGTCTGTCTTCACCAAAAATCAGTCCCTGCCCTTACCAGTGGAGCATTAGTTCAGTAATCTATTTTTTTTTTAATTATTTGTGTTCTGAAAATGTTGGAAATGTTAAGAGATTATAAATTACCTATATTTTTTTAGATAACTTCTTTTTTTGCCAAATCCAACTCTTTTCTGAGCTAATCAGACTGCTCACCTGGAATGTTTTCATTTAGTTAGCCAGTCAAATATTTATTGAGTTTTGATTCTTCTTTGTTTCAGTGTATGTGGCTTTTACCTTCAAGTAGCTTTCTAATAATACTCAAGACATTAAACTTAGCAAAGGATGTTCTTAATGCCTTCCAAAGAAGATCAGCCAGGAGGGTGAAAGAACTAGAAATTTTGTCGCTTCTGGAGCATTTAAAGGAATTGAGGAATTTTGCTTGGAAAAGCGATTCAGAAGAGGTTTTGTTTAAATTTTTAAAAATTATGTTGTTTCCATGGAAAATCCCAGTCTTCAAATATTTGAAGACCTTTCATGTAAGAGAGGGGTTAAATTTATTCTGTGTGGCTCAGAGGTAGAAGTAGGACCAGCAGATGGAAGCTCTCACAAAGTGTGTTCAGTTATATGCTGGCCCTTAGTATGGATGTTATAGAGAGGATTGAAATGTTAGAATCAGTTCAGATCCTGAGATGCTGTGATTCTGATTTTGCCTTTATATTTCAGATCCCTAGAGAATCCTTTAATTTGGAAGTCCAGAGGAAACAGATTCAAAGAAAAATAATTCCCAGTGAATAAGGGGTTTTAAGGAAAAAGAAAACTGAAAACGTCAAAAGTTTACTCTCCTTCAGAATTGGAATTCTAGGTTATTAATTGTTATTTAAAGTCTGTGTTCCAAATAATTCAGAAACAAACATGCATTAACACCTGTACCTCCCATATTTTCATGGTGCAATGAGGCATAGAATCCCATCAGAATATAGAAAAGTCAAGGTGTTAAAAAAAAAAATGTCCAGGGGGTTCTTTTCTTCTGAGAGGGAAATAGATAAATTAAGAAAGGTGTCTGATTTTTCCATCCACTTAAATTGCAGGAATGCGAGATAAAGTGTCCTCATGATTGGAGGTCTTTCTGAGTTCTTTGAGCTTCTTTTCACGCTGTTTCAAGCTAAAAGAAAGCTGAGAAAACCAGAGGAATATGTTTGTAGTTCTGCTTTCAAATGGCTGAACTAGCCACAGTCTTCTCATCATCCTTTTTCTTTAGAGACCCAGATCACATCACTCAGATGCTTCACTTACATGATATAATTAATATTTTACAGCTTCCCTACCTTATCCTCCCCATCATTTCTCTCTCCCCACAAACAAACAAATCAAATTGTTTCTACCAGGATTTTAAACCAAACTCATCCCAGACAAATTCAAAAATAAGCTTCTCGTGAAAAGCTTTAGGTCTTTTCTACTGCCATTTTAGCTCAGTTGTCATTTCTGGGAGGCCATTCATAGTTAGTCATGCTTTTACTCATTGGGCAACCTCAGTATTTCATTCCCCCCTGTTACAGGGGCACTTCTCACCTCCCCCAGATGAAAGGCACAGACTCAGGATAAGATTATCTCCAGAAGTGTTTCATGAGCCCAGAACTTCCCTGAACCACAGCTTTTCTAGATGATGCCCTTAGGAGATTTTCAAACTTGGATTTACCTAGAGGCTTCTCCTTCCTTACCACCGTCTGACTTTAGGGATCTGAGAATTAGCCTATTGGGGCCTGATATCTTAGCAGTGTAGAAAAAATGACAAAAGAAATTAAACCATCTTTGCTGTTGCTCACCCCCATCATGTTGGAGAGAAAGAACCATTACTACCTTGTTTAATATAATAGACACCAGATTGTCTTAAGTTTGTGCAACTATCAAAAAGGTTTCTAGGGAGTAAGGTAGCAAGGGAAGAGTTAATAACCAGCACCCCCTTTCACCAAGCAGCCTAGGATATGGGAAGAAGAGAACAAAGGATCCACTTTGTCATGAAACTGAAGTGCACTGCCAGACCTCCTGTCGTGTACAGTGTCAGGGCCGTCATCTCAGATGGTTTATTGTTCCCTGCAAAGCTATTTAAGTCCCCACAGTTTTGTGAGATGATTGCATCACTGCCAGAAAAGGACTCGCTTTCCTTCCTGGTTTTCTCCAGTTCTGCTTCTAGGACCAGCTTCTGATTTCTTTCACTGATCAAGTGAACAGCCTTGCCTTTCTTTGTTACCCCAAAACCCTATCTTCCTAGCTTCTAGCCTCTAGCACCAGATTTGGGGGCGAGATCACCATCAAGCAGTACTTGAGTAGCCAATTTGTCTTAGTTTGCTTTTGATAATTGGGTAATCTAGTCATTTTGGTTGGTAGAAAATGTGATTACATGTAGCTCTCCAGTGGCCAGCCGAGCTGGTTGTGAATAGGCAGACACTGGATTCAGGAATCATTTCACTTTCCTGAAAAACAGTCATAATATTTGCATAAATTTAAATGATGTCTTTTTCCTTTTTCTTTTCAGGGTCTGTATAAGCATCCTAAGTATGTTTTTTCTTTCAAATCTTTATAAGCATTCAACCATGATGAAGCAGGTGTTATCTCAATTTTACAGTTAGGGAGAAGAAGCCCTGAGAAGTTAAAATGGTTTGACCAGAGTCGTACATAAAATCTAGGTTCTACAGTCCTTTGACTTGCAGTTCAGTGCTTTGACCAAGGGCTGAACTTTGAAGTAAATTCCCTCCTCTTTGAACTGGAAAAACAGAGAGTCAACCTGAAGGGAATCATGGTATTCACTGTGCTCATTTTTTTGTTGTTGTTTTAGGATTAGCTTTATTAACAGTATGACATTTTCATGCATTTATGAAGTTTACACTAATTTTAATATTCACAATGTTTGATTAAGTTCAAATCAATAAATATTCCATCCTACATGAGAAAAAAGTGAAATAAGATTACCTTTTTATATAATCAGCTTAATTCTTTTAAGAAGTAAAGAGTTAATAAATTTTAAAACCTTAATTTCCAGTGTTACTGTTAACTCAGCCATGTGTATATTACTCACACATGACTGCCCAACTAGCCTTTCTTGTTGGAGACCACTTAATCTCTTGAACCACTTTTCCTCAGCATCTGCTTTCTCAGCCAATAAGTCTAGATGGGCCAGAGGACTGTTGTCTTGGTGCTTGCTGGCAGTAGGTGCTGCTGGGTCTGTTTCATTGTCATGACAGGTGGGTCAGCAATGACTCTGCTGGTCCTGGGGCTGCACTTCAGTAGGTCCCACTGACTTCTTGACTTTTTTACTTGACCTGAATATCTGCTGAACAGAAGAATCACTTTCAATGACTTCAGTTTCTTTTACTCTTTTTACTGGTTCTACCAGGGTGGCTTGGCCTTCCTCCTGTCTTTTTGCTGCTTCTTCATTTCTATTTTTTTGCTTTCAGTGCTTCATCAGTTTTTGCAGCAGCTTCAGGAGCCAGCTGTAGTCTGGCTTTGGCCTGTTCAGTCACTGGCAGATGTTCTAATCCATCTTTCATGTTTCCAGATTCCCCATGTTTGAGGTTGTGTAGTTCCTTGTCTTGGCCTTTTTCCTTCTCCTTTTCTCTTTTCTCCTTATCTCTGCCTTTACATCGTTCTCTGTCCTGAGATCAACTAAGGGTTCTTCCATGACTGGACCTTCTTGTTCTGCTTTTTGACCTAGACATCTGAAATCTATAGGATCTGCTTTGACCCCTTGAACAACTTCAACTTCATTTTCTTCTAGAGCCATAAGAAGAGCTACTGCTTCATCAGTGCCTGCATCCTCTATCATAAGAGTGTGAGCAAGGCTGAAGATCTCTGGACCAAGATCTTAATGTTGACCTTGATTGCCTTCCACCTTTCTTTCAGATGTATGTTCTACTTCTGAGAAACTACTTGAAGATAACTGTCTATGGTGTTTCTTTTTCTCTTTCTTCTGCTTTCTTCTTCAGTATTTGAAGACTGGTGTACCATTTGTAGGTACCAGCATTTGGCCTCACATCTCACGTTCACTCGCAAGAAGACCTGGAAAACATTTCTTGAAATCTGAGCACCACCAGTGTCCTCTGAACTTGCTTCAGTTTAAGCTCACCACCTTCCTCGTTCCCGCTCATTTCTCTCTTTTAACAGGCTGCTGCTGGGCCCCTTGACATGTCTATGCCTTCTACACCAGACATCAAAATCAAAGAAGAAGAGCCAGTGGAGGTAGACTCATCCCCACCTGACAGCCCTGCCTCTAGCCCCTGCTCCCCACCACTCAAGGAGAAGGTAAAACTCTCTAGCATGAGTCGCTCTAAGTGTTAATTGATAGGTTCACT